GAGGAGAAATTCTCTCTTAGTCACTCATGGGTGGGAAAGGTTTTAGGAGGCACATTTAAAATAATTAGATTCTGATAGATTCAAACCAAACTTTATTAAACTCGTAAACAAATTTACTCTGCACCAGCAGTAAGCTCCCTCTCCCGGTCTTTTTTGAGGAGACCCATGAACGCTCTCTTCTCGGCAGGATGCTGGAAGCGTCCATGGCCAAACTTGGACGATGTATCAATGAACTTAAGTTGGATCTTCTCCAAGGCAGCACGGTTTGTTTGGACAAGCAATGACTGTGAACGAATGACATGTCAAAACGGTCATTGCTAGAATTAATACACCGGCTTCTGGAGCTCTTTAATTCATGTTCACCTCCAATTCTGAAAAATATTAGACCTCTGTACAACTAACACTTACATACTACTTTAACATTGCCAATACCTACTTCAACACACTGAAACGCAAATATTGAGGTGCTTGTTGCTACAAGATCCTTGTCTTACCTTACGCAGAGTAAGGACACGTTTCACTTTGCCTACAACACATCCCTTGACCATGACATAGTCTTCATTCACTTCACCGTAGTGAGGGAAAGTACCCTAAAGGTAAGCCAAAGAGAGAGTTACAGCATTGTTAAGGTGCAAATAACACACACAAAAGTTATTTGTTTATTAAGTTTGAGAAAGATTTCACAAGATTTTGAACAAACACGAGAAAGGCTTAAATTAAATTCTGCTCTCCTTTCCTATGTTCAGATGTCAATCCCACAAGGTAAGTCCTCACTCAAAGTGGAGTGGGCCTTCACTAAGGGTGCATTTGGGTCCATACCCTTTGACCTAAGCCCATGAAGTGTCATGATTTTTTAACAGACCTGCAAGATGCAGTTAAGCCACTCTTGCAGGTTGCACATGTTGCATTGCACTCCCTATTTTCTCCAATTTAAACTGTATCTAAAAGATGTTTCTCAAAATCATATCCTTTAAGATGAACTCACCATTGGAGTGATTGCCTTGTCAGTCAGATCATACTCAGTACTGGCATTGTTCTTCACCACCTTTCCATCTTTAGTGTGAATACCACGACCAATACGGTAGATCTTCTTGTTGATTTCAGTACGATGATGGTAACCAAACTGACCTGCACGTGCAACAGAGTATGAAACACGGGCTGGATGCCATGCCCCAATACAAGCCACTTTACGCAAACCCTTGTGAGTCTTGCGTGGCAACTTCTTGGTACCCCATCTGTAAGTGACACCCTTAAATCCATGACCCTTGGATACACCAATGATATCAATCATCTCATCCTGTGCAAACACTTTGCGAACTGGTGCAGGGTTTTCAAGGCGCTCACGTGCCCAGTCAATCTTCTCTCCAACATCCTTACCACCATTGACTTGGATCTCCTTAATAATAGCCTTCTTTTGGCCAAGTTTCACAAGTTTTTGCTATCAAAAGGTTGAACAGATTACAATAAGAACACTTATTTTCCATGAACCACATAATGTTTACTTTAAAGAATTGCAATGAAATGAGGTGTCAGGGAAAAGCAAAATTAAAGGCACTGGCCACTGGCTAAATGAAAAATAGTAGTCATCATTTCTGGGTGCCAATTGATTAAAGAAAATTGATAGAATTTAGCCCTAGGGGATTATGCTCTTTCAAATGTATTAATATTTATAACCTTCCATAAACAATTTTATGTGGAATCTCTCCTTACTTAGTCTACAAATCAGTTTAGAAATATCCTGAAAATGAAAATTCACTCATGGTTATGTAAGCTAATTTGTTCCAACGAAATAAAATCCTATTTTTTTTCAATGAATTTCCATCACCCTCATTAAACTTCTGGAATATATCAACTTTCCTTGCTTCCTTTAAGGAAGAAGAGATGAACTTGCATCAAACATTCATAGAGGCAAAGAATACACTTTATTTTGATAATGGCAGGCATAAATAATATTCTTTAATGTCCATAAAATTCATTCTTCTTGAGCTCTCTTTCGAAGAAATATTCTATTGCTGTCATTGTTAAGGCCGGAAAGGCTAATTTACATGAACATAAGAGGAAAGCAATTTGACCTGCCATGCCCTTCCCCATGTGACTTATACCTAATAACAGACAAAAGTTTATTTGATATAGTAAATGACCTTTGTCTGTATCATAAAACAATATCCACACTAGCTGGGAGCCAATCAAATATGAGTTATAAGGAAATAGCCTGAAATGATATTTTTCAAAAACCTATACGAGATAAATACCTGTGTATGGCAAATAACACGGATGACTTTGCAGTACTTCTTCATGGTGTTGAAGTCATTCTCAATAGCAGTCTTGCCATCCTCATCTCCCCACCGCTTGGAGGCCTTGGAGAATGCCTTCTTCTTGGACTTGCACCTTTATGTACAAACCAGCATGGGCATGGTTGATGAAACAGAAGAAGGAAAAGGGGAGCCAGATCTCATCGGTAAAGGTGTACCGAGCGGAGAAAAGGCACTTCATGGGAAACTCTGGTTAGAAGTGCTCCACAGAACACAACGTTACAATAGTATAACAGTAATAATAAATGAACAAATTATCTTCAAAAACAAGCCCAAAAAAATGCTACACTATACAATATTTGCACTAAAACACATGCATAATCCAAGTATTTGGTATGTTGTGCATTCTAAATGAGTTTCCTTAGTTTATATATCAATACCTTATCTTTGATCAAAATTATTAAATTACATTTTTTGGGTTGATAAATAAGTAAAATCTCCTAGTAAATGTCATGTCACTGAAGGGCTTCTTTGAACATTACACAGTACCATTTTTATGATTTATTAGATCAAATGAATAACATGACTGCATTCAAGATGAACACATACCAATTCTTGTAGAAACGGCGCTTGCATTCTTCACTCAGATGTTCAGCCCAGATTGTTTTGAGGACACGAAGTCCTCTGGGAGTCTCAATGTACCCAACAACACCAACAACCATCAGAGGTGGTGTCTCAATGATTGTTACTGCTTCAACCACTTCCTTCTTGTGGATCTCTGTTCGGAAAGGAAAAGATAACAATTGAAGATTCACTTGTGTACACAATTTCAGTGTGATAAAAAAATACACTAAGATGCTTCGATTGGAAGACAGCAGTTTGAGACAAATTCAAAACTATATCCCAAAAAGTATGTATTTCAAATAATAACTCAGTTTAAAGTTAAATTTATGTTTCATTGTTAAGACACCAAATGTGTCCAAGCCTGCTGAACTTAACTAAGACTAGGACATTCCTTGATGTTCAGTGATTATCATACTATCAAAACAGGAATAACAAAAGGAATGTTGATAAGTTATACTGTCTAATGTTACTAAATAGACTTAATTTGAGTCTTGCAAGCAGTTCAAGTCACATACTCGATCCCGGTTTCTCCACTTCTCTCACAATGTGGGTCATACCAGCTTTGAAACCCACAAAAGCTGTCAAATGAGGTGGAAGGGTTGGGTCATCCTTGGGGAAGGACTTTATCCTCCCATTATGATGCTTGCACCTCTTACGAGGCAAGAAGCCGAGGGAACCGTGTCGTGGTGCTCTGAACTTCCTATGAGACTAAAGAATGCACAAATATATACAACTAATCAATCTGACATGCGACCACAAAACAACAAGGAAAGGCTAAACTTGAAAATAAAAATAGAAACGAGATACTGAGAGGAGGATTAAGTTTTAGAAAGAGGTCTTTACACCATGGACCCAGTATACGTCACTGAGAGTATTGGCACAGTTGCCCATCAAATAAGAGGAATGGATTTAATACACTGAACTGCACCCACCCCAATTCAAACAAGACCCTACAGTGTACCTACAACCATATCTTCAAGAAATATGTACAAGGAATTCCCTCATTTCGGCTGGTAAGATTTTGCCCCAAAGTCAACTTCGTTCGAGGTGAAATGTTCACGAATATACGATAAAATTATTCAAAATTGTTCCCTTTCTAATGTCAACAGCCCAACTTAGCCTTAATCATAAAATCGGTCACTAGAAGTTTATTTCTAAATGTCACTAGGTGGGAAACCTTCGATTTGAAGAAGAGGAAAATAGCATAGGAACCAATCGACAAGAAAGATGGTGGGGGATACGACCTGACGGGAGTGAGATGGATAAAGGTAGGCAACGATATTTGGAAAAAAAAAGAAAAAGCATCAACTCTCGATTTAGGGACTGATTTACTTTCCATGTTACATTATGGGGGTTTCGTACAGTCGAAGATCTACTTTAGAGTACTACGCTCATAACTCGTCCATTCAAGCTTGTTAACCACACGCCACCTACGATATAAAACCTTACAAGAAACGTACATTTTCGGAAGAAGTAAAAAAAATATGTCAGTTTCCATAAGCTAATAACACTTTTTGAAAGATCTAAGCACCAGTCTGGACTAGATGGTCATAAAATTACAGTTAAACCGACTGATTTTAAACACATTTCTCAGAGAGGCACCCACCATTTTCTACGAGCACAGGGAAAGAGGACGAAACCACGTGATACATTAGCTTTGTCTTTGCGCAAATCGGAGGGGGTACCAAGAGGGGTACCCTGATTAATTTTGTGAGTCCACGATATCTGCGGAAGTACACAATGGTGATACTAGACTTGCTCTTACATGACGTAAATGGCTTTCTATTCCATCGCAATCAGCCATCTTGAATCCTGAGTGTTTGTTGATAGAGGTTTTGCTGAAAAAAGGTGGCAGACTTGTGTTTTTCTCATCCCACGTGGAGGTGAGAGTTAACTTTTAGGCTTAAGAAGGATCTATAATACCTCGTAATTATCCTATTTAGCTCTGAATATCTATAATAGCCTGAAACATCCAAAACCACCTTGAGTTCTCAGTATCATAATTCCTTTTCTGGCATGGTCCTTTGCAAATCTCATTCGCTGCTCTACTGCGACAAATAATCTTTTTTTAATCGTTGATACACATGTAATTTATGTAGTTTATTCTTCCTGCTGTATTTTTGATGGATTTTCTTATATTTCAGCAAAGATTTTAAGATGTCTGAGAAGTACATGACGAGGTTTGATGAGAGGATGAAATCTCCAACATTTGATGAAATCGACCGCAGCGATCCTGTGGCATTTCATAATGCACGAGAGCGTTGGGCTTTAGAAAGACTTATTGAGTTGGAAACCGTGAAGATATACCAAGAAAGAGTCAAGGAATGTTACAGAAGAGAGGAAGTCAATGCCAAACAATACTGCAGAAAAGAAGTAAATGACTACAGAAAATATTACAACGAGTACAAGAAAAAAGGTATATTAATCTAACTTTTTGATAAATGAGATGTTTGATTTAGTCAAAATTTCGGAAATGAAATGACACACTTTTCTATTTTCTACCTTTTTCGTTATATCTGTCTTCTGTGTCCCTTGCCCACGAAAATTCTTTAGGATGCAAAAAAAATACATGGCATGTGACTTAAAAGATCAATTAAAAGTGGATGTCCTCAATCAAATGAAATAAATACTCCTGTGAATGAAATACAAGGAAAAGAGGGATGCTTTAGGTAGGCAGCAATTAAAGAAATCACAGAAAAGAAGCTGAAAAATTGAGGTTGATATCTTGATAACAACCTTAAAAGAAAAATACAATTTGAATTTTGGTAGAATGGAATTGGCCATTGGGAAACTTGTGCAGGACAATTTATGAAATAATGCATTCACTGAGCAAGACAAAGAATTAAATATTTTAAATAGATGGTATGGAAGGCTAGATTGCTTCATTATCACATCAAAGACAAGAAATCAATACTTTTCTTCCAATTAACTCTACAGAATCAAAACTACTAAACAAATAAACCGTACTCTCCCTATGTCACATTTCCTTTTTATAGCGTGCAACTACACTTTCATTTTCTTTTAACTACATGAACTTGGTTAATCTTAATTAAATAACAATTTGGAGTCCATAAAACATGATTTAACGTTACTGTCAGTCTACATCAATAATAAAGATGTGTGCAGCAAAGGGAAGTAAAGAAATGAAGTGACCTTGGATGTTTGTTTATCTCCTATTACAGCTTGGTTTCACACTGAAGGTGGTGACTGGACCAAATATAAAGTGGAGATCAGTGGAGAATGACATTTTATAATTGCTCACATACTGATGGTAATGATGCTCTGTAATGTGTGATATCTTTTTAATTCCTTGAATGGAGAAGAAGTGATTTTTGAAGTCTTCTGTACACCTTCCTCTTCTGTGTTTGCACTGTTTTCCATTTTTCCAGGCAATTTGGTTGTATTGTAAATTGTATACATTAAGGGTGATGAATATTTTCACAAGGTAAATTTAACCTGTTCAGATCCATGAACCAGTACACACTGTTGTCAGTGTACCTGTTAATGTTCTCAATAAAGCAATTTTTGAGAAATAATTACATTGGATGGCTACTTTTTGTCTCATTTAGAAAAAACTTAGGTAATACATATTTAATTTGCTGAATTGATTTGGCTTGTGTGCAGAACTCACCTACCTGTTAAGTCAAGTATGGCTCTGTACACTACCATAATATTAATCCATCACTGAAATTTAAGTAGGATATTTCTGCTCTGAGAACATTCATGATTAAAATAATATCTATTCAAGACCATAAGGGCATGGGTGAAGTGATGGAAAAAATCCTTGAAAGGATTCTTTTGGGTTCTTATATGGCAAAATACCCTGCTTTGAGCTTGTCAGTAACATTCCTGAGTGACCACATTCCAGAGAGGACAGCTTTATTTCTAATGTTTGTCAATCTATGAAAACAATTATTGAAGTGATTACACATTTGTGAAAATCTTAAATGAGAAAGCATTCAAATCTGTGAACTGTGCACTGTATTATCATAGGCTACTGTGTAATGTTACACCCATAGCCCATGCAGACTATCTGTCTCCAATATTTATGACTTAGTTAGCCAAGCATAAATTCTAGGTGAAATTCTTGTCACTGGCTCTTGATTTGACAGTCAAATTCTTCCCAATCTATCACTTGGCCATCCAAACCACAATGTGCTCCAAACCTACACCCACGGCTATTAGTACCTTCAAAGACACCAGTTGGGTACCATTTCCCCTCATAGTAACAACCTTTGGGCAGAGCTGGAGGTGTGGGTGTGGGTGTAGACTGTGATGTACAATTGAAGTCATCCCATAGCTGGATTTGACCATCATCTGTACAAATCGCCCCATAGCACCAACCTTGCCCATCTGTTCCCCTACTTATCTCACTGCCTGGGGCATACCAGACACCATTTTCGAGGCAACCTAATTGTGTTGTTGATGGGGGAGGTGGTGGGGGAGCTGTAGAAGGAGCTGTAGTAGGAGCTATCGTGGGAGCTGTTGTAGGAGCTGTTGTAGGAGCTGTTGTAGGAGTTGTTGTAGGGCCACAGTTCCAGTCATCCCATGCAATAATCCTTCCATCACTGGTACAGTACAATCCATAGCACCACCCCATACCATCTGTCCCTTTTTCTATGTCACTGTTCTCTTCGTACCAAATGCCATTGTACATGCACCCGGACTTTGGAATGGTTGTAACAGGGAGACTAGGTGGGGTGGTGGGTGTCATTGTTGTTAGAGGTGTGGTGGAAACTGGACCACAATCAAAGTCATCCCATGTGACAACATTACCATCATTACATAACAGCCCATAACACCATCCTTCCCCGTTTGATCCATGACTTATCTCTTCTTCGTGTGCATAGCATTTGGAGTCATACAAGCAGTTTGGAGTTAAACATGCTGTAGTGGTTGGCTGGATTTCATTTTTAAGTTCATCCAGAGGGCGTGACTGAGTCCTGGCCAATAGGAGCACCAACAGAACCAGCAAAATTTCAAGTGCTTGATGCATGGTCCTGCAAAACATCGTGTGTTTGTAATAAATAATTGGTAAGGGTGGTTTTAATGATGACCACCGTACCCTGTTCCCGCCTGAAGTTACTGGGGAGGGTAACCGGCGATCATATGTTCTTTTTGCGAGAAAAGTTATGTGTAGTGAGGCGGACTTCACTATCACGCTCCCCGATAAAAAAAAAACCGAGCGCCTGATCGCAGGCAAGCGTCTAGGTGATCTACCAATCGGGTAACGAAAAAAACACCCTAGTCTTTGGTGAAAAAGAACAAACTTACTTGTTTCTTTTAAAATCATTTAAAATTCATCTTGCGCCGATGTTTTAGCTCGACGGAGTAATAACTGTTTTTGGTACTGGGCACATATCCCATGGAATGCAATACATGCCTACGTCAGTCAGTGAAAATGGAATTTTTCATTGTCGTTGGATCTGACCTTTGCTAAACTCGCGTTTTTATCTGATGTAAATGCATTAAGAAAATTTGCTAGCACATATTGAAAACCTAGGAGATATTTAGAATAAATGACCCAACACAGCTTTTTCTACACAATATAGAAATTTTCAGTTTAAAAAAAACATGTTACCCATCTGTTTTATGTTTTTGACAGCAATTCTGCAAATGAGAACTCTGATCTCTAAGTTATCTACCTCAATATTTTTGTTGTATCTCACGATCCGCGCAGTTATACATTATGTCTATTTAAAAGATATAGTCTTAGGATTTTTGCTCTTCCTTAATGCACTTTTTCATGTTTTTTTGGCGTTCAGCGTGTTAAAACTCGTAAGCGCGATCTGATGAAGGACATCTGAACAGAATAAGATCTACGCAATCCGGATCAATCGTTTCAATAATCGTTTCAACATACTAATCAGTCGTAATCTTGCGGGACGAACTGGATGTTCAATAAAGCTATAAAATCAAAGTAACAGTACCTTTCAGCCGCTTTTCCTTTGGTCAAAGACAGAAAGAAATGCAAACCTCCGTCTGGATTATTCGCGCCGGGAGTTCGCGATTCTTCTAAATACAATATGACCCAACTATTTTTATTTCGGAGATCGGATTTCTTGAATAGACCTTTTATAATCTTTTTCCCAGACTACTGCGTTGTAAGCTGTTTGCCCAGAAATAAAAAGTTTTAATTTATTTTTGCAGTATGCATGACCTCGGACAGCTATTCCCTAACAATGTTTCACATAAACATCATTTTTAGTTGAACCCCTCTTTCTTTGAGGAAAAGATATGTTGTCTTATATATATGCTGATAGACTGTTAACAAGGGTCTAACAAATCTCCAAATTGGCAATCGTTCAACCAGCATCGCAATTAAAACTACCACGTACCGGTAATTGGTGAATGAAATATAATCATCGGCTCTTAGTGGTCAAGAGAAAAGGCAGTATGATTTCCTGTTCAATTAAGCGCGCTGGATCTCAAGCCGTCTATCTCCGCGAATCGTCAAGAGTGTACTCTTCCAACTCAATTTTTTTCGTCAAGAATGAAGTGCATTGTTCATGCTTAGAGGATGCAGCATTTCATTCACACAGTGTCTAACTCATATTTATCCACTAAACATAATTCACGGATTCTACAATATATTTGGGAACAAAATGAAATAAAAAAATGAAGAGAGTAGCGCACAAAAGCTTTCAATGGATTAGCATCAAGCAGGACTACAGTAAGAGCAATCTGCCTAGCCGCTTTGTAGGAAACAGGAAAAGATTACACTTATGAAGACCCCTGGGCTTGTGATTTATGTCCCCCTTTTCATTCCTTACTGATATGAAACCACATTATTGTATAATTTTCTAGGCTAATTGGCAACTTCCTTAACTTGGGTATCCACACAGTGTCTGTATGCTGGCATAACATGGCAACAAGGGTAGGGTATGAAATGTGTCAAAGTGAAGCACGTGAAATTTTCACGTAATGTATAACTCTTGTAACAAACTCTTATCATCATAGACTGGGCTTTTGTGTTAAAAAGAAACTGGGTGATGATGGGCTTTTACTTCTTTTCCAAGCGTGGATCCATGCTCACAAGTGTTGCTGCCAATCACTCACCACGCTGTTGGGGTGCCATCCTAGTCAGTGAATTTAATTAGCAAAGCTAGGGATGAGATAACCTTGCCTAAAAGACAGGGTTGATACCTGATAACCTTGAAAGAACTAAGGATGATTTATTTTATTCACTCTATCAAATGTCTCTTTGGATCTCAACAGTAAATGTTGAGTTTCCTACATTTCAAAGCCAATAAACTGCAAAAGAGCATGCAAGTTCATCACTACTACAGTTTTAGAGGGGGTTGTTCCCCATTTGTATGAAAAGCATATTAAGATTCTCCAAATTTGAAGATTGAATTCAAAAGAAGTGTTTTACATTGTAGACTGACACTCCACTTTCACAATACATTCCAGCATTTCTGTAAGTAGTGTCTCTGTAAATCCCACAAGGAAGTAAAACTTTGGCAAGTTCATAACCGGAGGCACAAGAAAAACAATGTTAATGCGGTTTGCCTTTCTCTTGATGACAACCTCAGAAACCAAATATTCATGCATGACTCCTTCCACAAACTTGCGAATCATAATGTCATCCATCATCCTTTCTGATGCCCACAAGCTTCCCTTTAAATTTCCTAAATAAAAAAAAAAGAAAGAACAATGGACTTGCTTTCAATTCAAATATATTTGTGTATATATATATTTCATTCTAAGAAAATAAGTGTTTCTAAATATCACAATTTTCTAATAAAAAACCATTTTCATTTGACCTACAGTTGAAAATTGAGCAAATCCATGGTAAGAAACCTTGCAGTTGGAAATAGAAAGGAGGGAACACAGAGAACTGCTACCCTAAACAAAAACACTGCCACACTATAGTGCAGGGAACAAAATGCAAGCACATGGGAAAACAATGCATGCACTGATAAGGAATATCGCTGGACAGAGAATGCCTGTAAAATGCTGTTCAGTTTGCTCCCGTTCATTAACTATGTTAAATCCCATTTAACTACAAAATATTTAATGCCTCCCATCAAAACATGGATATCTTGCTTTAGATTTATAACTTATGCACTAAAATGGGAGTAATTTCAAGCACCCTGAGCATTTACAATAAAAAAGGGAATATTTTATTCAGTGTAGTTGAGCTTAACTTGCCAGAATTTAAAAAAAAAATGAATGTTTAACTTGAACAGAAAAGAATGACAACCATGAGATTATTGGTTGATCCAATACCAAATTCTCTGAACTAGCATCATAAGAATTTTATGGCAGATAGTAAGGAGAATTACTAATTAGATCTTGGGAGTGAAAGGGTTAAAAAAATGTTGTATCATTTTCAGTGGCTTCTCGCATGGTCCAAAATTAGATCGTAGAGAATGGGATCGGAGAATGGTTCATTAGAGATCAGTGTCTCTTTTCTGAATGACTTTTGTGGTCTTATACAAGTAAAAGAATTTCACAGTATTGCATGGGACAGACTCACATTTCCTATTTTTTAAACTTTTTTATCAATTTGTCAAATTTATGCACTCTAAGTGCTAATGCTAGAACTTCTCTTTCTGATGCAATGTATTTTCATAAAGGACCTGTGTGATGTGAGTCGTGGCCTTTGGTGACACCAATTTTGTGGCTCGGTATAATTTTGGCCTTTTTCTGTAGTTTTTCTCTTGTTTGATATGCACAACTGACACCAAGAATCTTTGTGATAGGGGGTGTTGCCGCCATGGCAGGAAAACATGACACACCATGACCACCTAGAACTCCTATTTGTCCAACATGGCCAACACCCTGTAAAGATACAAGAATAAAACCATCAATATCCATTCAAACCAGTAAAGTTATGATTTTGGTTTCGAAAGGAAACATTAACAAACTATTGTCAATGCTCTGGTAGTCCCATGAGTGGGGTTATAAGAGAAGTGAAAACGAGTGTCATTATCTGTTGTCTTTTAACGTAAAACTTATGCAGTATATCGTCTGCTATGAGGTTAAAAACACGTTTTCATGCTCCAGTATAGTAACAACAGATACATGGGAGTTTTAGGATATTTAGCAGTTTTCCTAACTGAAAAAGGCCTACCTGGATGCTGGCCAATCTAAAGAAGGTTCGGCAGCTTTTAGCCGCCATATCAAGTTAGTTTTGCAGAAAACCTTCCCAATTTCATTACTGGCTACTCAATACGGGCTTCTTGCTTCTTGTCCGCCATGATCAATTCTTCTGCCCACAATGCATCACATTCAGCCCCAGTATTACACCTTCGTGATGATGTCAATGGTAAACAACATGGCGGTCGCATACATACGTGGATAGCGTTTTTTCCCAGATATTTTTCTGTTTCCCTGGAAATTTTTTAAAGTATCCTTTAGGCAAGATGTACATGCTGTAAAAAACTCCATATTATTGCCATGAGCTGGTTTGATCCTTCGGGGTTTTCATCTTTCGCTAAAACAGCTTTATCTCAAGCACAAAAATCCATCGACAGGGTTTTGGATATCGAACAAGATGAAACAAACAGTGCCGCTTCAAAATCTTCGGGTAATTTTATCCTTAGTTATTTATTTGATAAGTTTGCATATACTTTGTATACTGTTGTTGGAGCGTTGAAGCTTGGGCCCAATGCTATCCTAGACTAGGGGAGTGAAAGGTTAAGATGTAGTAGTATATTGTGAAAAGGGAAAGGAACACAGAAGTTATGTGTAGCCTCTCGATTATGGAACGCTAATCGTTAAGTGGAATAAAACTTTAGCATTTTGCAATGTACTACTACATCTTAGCTCTCATTTAATGTGAGCTTCATATGACAGGCTACATATAACGAAAAAGTCAGAGTGAGAGTTTGTTATGGTGGCAAATCAACTGTAAATCTGAGTGAGTAATGATAAACCCTCAGAGGAAACATTGTATTTTGTTCCCTGAGACCTCAAATGAGCACTTAGGGCAACACTAAGGGTCAAGGGAAAAACTACCTGAATCCTCTGGAACCCATCATTACAAATTTTGTTTTACCTCTCAATTAAAAATAAGACATTATATGTGAGTATTACTTTATGGCTCAATTGCAAAATAATACAAGTCTTGATTGAAATTGAAAAATCAAGTTCTCAAGAAAATTTTAGTGAAAAATCATGAGTACACCTTCTCTTAATCAGTAGATTTTGAGGTCTTGTCCTGTTGAATTTCTCTTTCAGCACTTGTTTGGAAATTTGCAACCTGCAATTTTTTTTATCAGTGCAGGCTGACACACACTCCTGTGAATCTGTTATTTCCCATAGGAGTTAGTTGGTTTTGACCCACAGTACACAATACATTCTCCTTTAATCAGGAAACAGATTTTAGTTGAGAAGTGCAGTTGTAGAGTCTTTCTTGTTTATAAGTTATGTTGCAATTTAAGTATTAAGAAAGAAAATTTGTTCAATTACTCTAATATACATTGTTTTCATTGTTTCAATTCAGCCTCAAGTGCACCAAAGTCTTCCCCATCATTGTCCTCAGGCACGTCTTCAAAGGATAATTTAACACGTAAAAAATCATCTTCTGCTTTATCTGGGCATTCTGCCTCAAAATCAGCAAGGAAAACATCTTCAGATGTGGACAATTCAAAGGATGGTGAAAGTGATGGGAATTCATTTTGGTCATCCTTCCTTGGCGATTCCTTTTCCTCAGCTGCAACAGAATCCAAAACATCAAATCGTAGAGCTAGTGGACAGAAACTTGGTTCCCGAATAAGTGGTGGAAAAATGAAAAACAGTGTTGACAGACAGGACAGTGAGGATGCTAAAATATTGAAAGATGAAGACAATTTGCCAAGAGCATTAAAACATCAGAGTAAGAAGAACAGTGTGACTGACACTAGTACAAGATCAAGTGAGCAATCCCAAGCACCCCAGACTTCATTACCTGTGAGGGAAGATTTGGCAAATGTTGGGTGGGACATTTCTGAACCGGATAAAAATAGCACTGTGGCTGTCAATTTTCAAGAGGCTAAGGAACTTACAGAAAGTCCTGGAAAGGGAGAGTTGAATACACACAAGTCACCTGTTATGCCTGCTCTAAGAGGGAGCAAATTGAAATCACAGCAATCAAAACGTTCATCTACCAGTAAGAGTAGAAAAGAGAATAAAGAAGTACTTAGCACTGAAAATAATGTGTGCAAGAACAATATTGAAAATGTTGAGCAAGATGCATTGATTGTTGAACATGACAAAACACCTGATGATAAATCAGAGTCTGTGAATGAACACCTTAGTACAGAAACTGTGCAGTCTATTCCACTTCAAAATAATACAGATTCACCTGATGCAAATGAGAATGAACTGGACTATTCTGAAAAGACAGATGGTTTTACTATCTCAGTTGAAACTGGTGAAAAAGCTCCTGATGTGGATAGCTCCGACATTTCTCAGTCATTGCTTAAAAATTCAACAGGAAACAATGTTGTGGGAGAAATTAAACATGAGGAAGCTGTACAAAATCTACAAGAAAGTGTTAAACCTGTGGCTAGTTCAACACCAAAACACTATGCTAAGGAGCAGAAATTCACATCACTAGGTACAGCAATGAAACCTGAAATGGAACCTACTGATGAACACGAAGAAGCTTCAAATGACAAGGGAGACCTACAAGCATATTCATGTAATCCAGAATCTCCAATTCCGCAGAGCAAAGAAAGCAACACATTGTCAGAAAATGTAGTAGAATTGTTTGCAGAAGCTGCATCTGTTGTTCAAGATAAAAGATTGTTGGAGGACAAATCACAACAGGAAGTTCAAGAACATACTTGCATACATCCTGAAACAGGAAAGGTGGTCGATATGTTGTCATCACAACAGCCAAGTACAAATGATGGTAAGTGAAAAGTACACATTGATTAGTGAGCAGAGTGTTTTGGAAATGTCAGTGGTATCTTTCTTGCTGCCTTTGTCATCACAGATTGTTGTTGCCCAAGAGACAGCAGTAATTAGTACATCAGAGGTACCTTTGAACTGCAAATTATGAGTAACTAATTTTAGGGCTCTCTGTAGATTAGAAGTACATGGTAGGTGTATAGTATATGAGGATGTTCATTATTTAACCAGCTGTCCGAGGGCGTCTTCTTAGTCTTTTTTACCTACTGTAGACTTATTCATATGAACTCAGGAGAAAGAGAGCATTAGGTCTTTTTGTTATTCCTTGATGATGATTAGCACCAGGGAGGATTTAAACTTGTTATTGTTGACCTACAGTAGCCAAATGTTAATTTTCCAAGTGATCAAAATTCCTCATTGCTCAATGTACACAACTGATCATTAATTTTGATAATTATAGGAGAGACAGGCTATATTTAGTTACTTACTGGTTATGTGAATGTAGCTTTGGGCCAATCTGACACCACAACACTATTCTTTTGCTGTTATTTTTTAATTCCAGATGAAAAAAGGCAAGAGAAGATGTATGTGATGGGAGATGATCCTAATTCTACTGAAAGCACAGAAGACACAAAGAGGAAAATAGAAGAGCTGCAAAATGTGAGTAAACTACAGATCCAAACTTTGTTTATATAATCATTTATTTTAGTTAACCCTTTAACTCCCATTAGAGACAAACATGTAACTTCTCCCCATTATATCTAAACATTATCCAGCAAACAAGTAATGAGAATACTTAAACTCATCAGGAAGGAGTTGTTATCTTGATCTAACACCACATTCTTGTAACTAATTTATGTGGGATTGTGTATCAGTCTAAGGGGAGAATTGACAAACACATCATGGGAGTTAAAGGGTTAAATACTTTATTGTTAGAATTCTGTCTTAATTATCAGTAATAACCTTCATCTGCTTCCCAGCAAGATGCCTTTGATTAAATTAGGGTAATTCCTCTATAAAGAAGGATAATATTTTAATAATCCCCAGTCCTGGATATTTGTGGAATCTTTTTTTACCCTGTTTACAGGAAATTTGTAGCCTCAAGCATGTGATTGAAGTACGTGAGAATAAGCTGGTTGAAGTTAGCAAAGAAAATATTGACCTTCAAGAAACATGTGCTGTACTGAGGAGGTTTGCTATACTATCATTGTATAGAGTACTTTTCAGGGATGAGACTCAGAATTAAGAAAAAGATTGTTGGAATGTTGAGGATACCAAGGAATGAAGGACTAGCATAAGCACAAGCAAAATATTTGCAAGCAATTATACACAAATAAATGCAAACTATCATTTCAGGTTTTGACTTGTTTTTTGCCATTCTCTGAAGCCAAAGGTTTGGGGTAGTGCATATTTCTTGCATGAGTTGTGTGTCAAGTGAGAACTTAGCTTTACCTAATGGCAAATTTACGGTAGATGCCATCTATATGATGGGTGGTAAATACTAAAATCTGACACTTACTGAGATATCAAGATCTTCTCCTCTTGGACCCAGGACTAAATGGCAAAGTTCCTGGGAAGGATAAAACTGGAAACAGAAGACACTATGATGTCAAGGAAAGTCTTCCTGGATGAAAATTCCATTAACCCAATAACTCCTAGAAGTGAATAATATCCATACATTATTCAGAAAACAGATCATGAGAACACTCTAACTTATTAGGTAGAAGTTATTCCTTTGATGTAATGTCAAGTTTGCATATGGTAGGGTATGTTGTAGCATGTATGAAAAAAATATAATGCAACTTATTTCTTACCCTCAGTCAGCTGAAACAAGCTGAAGATGCATTTAGGGAAGAGGATGAGGAAATTGAGGAAGTGAGAAAAGAGTTCACTGTTCGAGTTGCTGCCACAGAGAAGAAATTTCAAGCTGCGGCAAAGGTATTATGACTGCTCAATCTTTAGAACTTTTTACTTCACAATGATGTTCCTTCATTGAACATGTAATTTTCTTATTCTACAATCCTTGTAGAGAGTAATTCATTTTGTTTCATTTCCAATCTTGTTCTATCATAATAAATTGCTTGTAATGGTGCATTCATGTTTGTACTGAACTTGGGTACTGTAATGTATCTCATGTTAGTAGCTAATGGTTCAATGTGTTTTCTTTCATTTATTATCAGGAACGGGATCAGTTAAGGGCACTTTTAGAAGAGACTGAAAATTCTTTGTCCTCAAAGTCAGTTAAGCTCTAAACCTTTTTTTTTTCTATTGTAAATACTGATAACACAGGGATTAATATTAGGGTGGGGAGAACCCTGACATCTCTGTTAGGTAACAGCTGACTTGGTGTAGACAAAGATTTATAAAATATTGAAAAATGTTTTTTTGTTTACAAGTAAAACTGTAAATTTCAATTAGATTTTATTGTAAAATTTTCTTGGTTCTGAATAGTCTGTTTGAAGTTTTCTGAGCCACTTTTATATTATTCATGGTTTGATGATAATTATGGAATGTTGTAGCACATTTTGAGAGAGTCTGTCATAGTTTTTGAAGAATTCTGATTCTGTATTTTGTACTACAGGAATTGAACACTCCTCTGACTTATAAATGGTTCAAAATTTTCCTTAATTGAAAGAAGCCTGATTGCTGGTGGTTTTGTTTGCAGCAAAGCCACATGGTTTTTCTTGATTCTGTAATTAATGGTTTGAAGCCTCACACAAAACTTTGCTCTAGGCACACTAGGTTGAAATTTTTCAAACCAGTTTGGTTACTATTTCCCCCTCTTTGTTTAGTCATTTTGACTGTCCAAAATGGAGGTAAACACTGATTAAACAGGATTTGAACACTTTAATCCAAGTGAAATATTGAACGAAAACATATGCACTTATTGCTAAAGCTTTTTGCTGGCTTCATGAAATAGGAATGAGCAGCAATCTGAAGAGTTTACAACCCTACTCAAGGAAAAAGATGATCAAATTTCTCAGTTACTAGAAGAAGGTGATTTTTGCATACTTAAATGTAGCTGGTATTTAAGGTAAAGAAGTACATTGTTTTGTAACTGGGCAAATGAGTGTGAGAACACACATGAGATTGAGGAGAAATATAAGATAAAAAATTGAAAAGTTCTACCCTTTGCATGATAATTCTTACTGAAAGGTACTGATCATGTATAGCCCCAACCCTGCCTTTTTATCTGAGCAACTACAATTCAAGTCTTTCCTGATGGTGATGGTAATGATAATTTTCCATTTCTCCAATATATGTTCGAGTGTCTCTATTTCAAAGCATGTTTCTGGTTTCAACCAAATCATTTGAATCTGAACACATTTCTGGCAATGGTTTTCACAGAAATTCACCCAGATTCACAAACTTTTAAACCATGACATCTTATGAATCATGGATCAGGCCAAGACATAACAAAGTTTGCATTTTTGTTGTTTAACTAGTTGTAGCCACTGTTCTTTGTTTATCTCTTCAGTGTACATTCAGTTTAAATATCCCCTAGCCTGAGGTTTGCATCTTGTAGTCAGTTAGTAAGGAGGATTATTTTTCTGGAATTTCAACAGGTGAAAAATTGTCTAAACAGCAACTTCAAAGCAACAATATTGTCAAGAAACTGAGAAGTAAGGAAAAGGAGAATGATGCACTGATCAAGAAAAATAGGTAAACAAGTGTACTTGAATAATCAAATGATTTAACAATCCTAGGGGGTTTATAAAGATGAGGAATTGCTGTCTTTACTGCTATTGTAACCCTTCAGTTCTGCACAGACCTTTTTCCAAGCTATTCCATGTGCTAGTCTAGAGAAGCTTGGTCAATTATATAATTTTTTTTCACCATTATCATCATCATCAACAATCAATTTAATACTGCTCAACAAGAGATGCAAGACTGTTTACCCAAATTTCTGCATTAGCACCTAGGAGGCTAAGTCTCCTCTTTTAGTAGGTTTACCCAAACGTCTTCATCTGAAGACAAATCACAATTTTGTCCAGAATCTTTTTTTTTTTGGCTATCCTTTTCTGTGAGCCCAATTGTCACTCATACTTCATCTCTCAATTTTTTGTTTACAGCAAATTATTGGAGGAAATGACAGCTGAAAATACCAGACTGACTGAAATCCTGAAGGTTAAGGAAGAAACAGAGAGAAAACAAGCAGGTAGTGCTTGCCTCTTGTCACACTTTTCACCTCTCCAGACTGCCTTAACCATTACTCTACCTTAAGGTAATTATAGGCTTCTAACTGCAATGTTCAAGAAATTTCACCAAGGTAATTCTGCTTTTCAGATGCCATAACGCAACTCAATAGCTATGTTGAAAAGCAAGACACACAAGTTAGCAAACTGAAGGTGAGCTTTCCAGCAAAGTCAACGTAATGCGACAGTCAAAATAGTGCAGAGGAAGGAACTTCCTAGTAGATGGAAAGAGAAGTTAATCATTGCGTGTTGGGGTAAAAGAAGATAGGTCATTGTGCTTGTTTAAGAGATATGATGGGGCCAAACTTACCCCATTTATGCCTTTACTGGCATTTATCACGCGCGTCATTTCATCGGTTCATGGTATATTTCTGCGGTAGTTGGAAGCAAGTGTTTTTAAAGAAACACTTCATAGTTAGAAAGTCTCGAGCGTATGGAACAATTCGATATACAATATGTGGAAAAAATCATTCAATTTTAGACGGCATCGACTTAAATTGTTCCTCTAGTCGTTGCTTTCAAGGTCATTTGCATCTTCGAGTAACGGGCCTTCATATACGCTTCATGTATATCCTTTTTTCCCTTCGATAAATTTTATTTTTAAATTTCTCCAATTTAAAGGGGATAAATTGTACACCAAAATAATGCTGTTAAAAATATGGGCCACCGTGCTCGTTCAACAGCTGAAGACCATCGCACCTCTTTAGTTGATCCATTGGTTGACAAAAAACAATACCTTGTTCTCGGAATGCGTGCGCACTTATTCCCCTGATTACGTGATTTTTATGCTCAGGATGTACGGTGCAATACTGAGCTTTAAGGTATTTTTGAGGGTTTTAGACATAAAGAGAGGAGGACACTAAATTGTTTTGGAGGTTGACATCAATGAGAAATTTTTGGCTGTCTCAGCTGTACCCTTATTTTTTCTAAGTTTTTATCATTGCATGTTATTTCCTTTTCCATTAAGCACATAATGATAATTTTCAGTGGTTTTGAAATGATAAATAAGGATTAAATAAATTTCAATGAAACCAACTCACGGCGGTTGTAAGTATAGGTTTCCAGGTTTCCGCTCAAAAAAGATCATATGATCCGACTACAAATGTAGTGGGTGCCATGTCAACGAGAACATCTGCCATACCATTTAAATTATAAGTTTCTAGCTGTACCCACACTGGTTTCGTCTGGGGTCTTCAAGCACCCAGGCCCTATTTATCACATAGAAATCCCCTTGGGCATGATAATGATGTGATGTCTCTAATTCCTATACTTTTGCTCATTATAGTCTGAATTAGATGATTCAGCGGAGAAGATTAGAAGTATGCAAGCTGCACTGGACAATGCTTACAAGTTAGTACCATGAAAACAATTGGAGCGAATGATAATTCTTTTTACAATCGTGCAAACCTGCCATTTCAACTCACTTTCCTCCTCTCCCAATGTTTAGGGGAGGCTATGTAATGATGGTAGAATTCCTCTTTTTTTTAAAAGTATTTGGTAAAATCTGACCCCTGCTAGTTTGAGAGATTCTTGAAACCTATGAAAATCTCAAACCTTTCTTTGAAACTGAGTAACAAGTTTTTTTCTGACATTCGTAAGGAATACAGAAAAAGAATCTAAGTTTGGATCACAACTTTCAAAGGTTCATGATTTGCCGGACCAAGATTTTCAGAATTAACTAACAATACCGTTTGAAGCCCTTAATTCAATTCTGGAAACTTTAAAAGCACTCGTCATATACGGCGACAAAAAGTGATATTTGCATACGTTTATCTTTTGGATGCAGACTAACCAGGGTAATGTATCATGTCAATTTATTGAATATTTCATTGTGGAATGGATAAGAGGAAAGAGAGCTATTATCACACGCTTTCAGCAACTTTTGATTATTTTTTCTGCAGGCAATTGGCAGACCTACACAAAGAAAATGCTTCTAAAGATAGCGCAGTACAGGTAAGTGGCGCATTTAGCTTCCTGTCTTGCTCCAAATTCACGTTTTTGTTTCTGGCATTCTGCGCTTCAAATGAGAATCTCACAAGAATACGAGAAGTTTCATTTCAGAAAAACTAAGTGTGAGATATTTCATTCCAATTGTTTTTGTCTGGAAATTGAATGATGTATAACGTGCACTAAATTTTCTTCATGTAGTTTGTGTAGTGTGATCTTACAAACGAAAGTTTCGAAACGAATGAAGGCTGTAGCTGCCCAACAACGACAGTCACTGAATTCCAGATGAAGATCTGAGTCAGAAAATAGACATTCTTATTAGCAGTACTGCACTGATAAATATACTGTTCTCTAAAAATTATCAGTAAAAGTTCGTGATTTTCATTCTCAGGAAGCTGCTCTCAGTGCTGAAATGACTGCAAAGGAAGGTCTACGGATTGCAATGGAGAAAAAAGAAAGACAGTTTAAGAGTGAAACGGAGGCATTAGAATTCCAGGTATTCAAATCATTTATGTTAGGTACATGGAGGGTGCTCTTCACTGATTGATCCATGGACCGGTTTATTAAGTAAAGAGGATAAGTTTTGAAAGAAACTGTGGTGCTGCGTCGGTGGGGGAGTATAACAAGAGAATTTTGATTTTATTAACTAAATTGATGATGTAAATTGGCCATAGTAAAGAGTTTCAAAGCTAACTTTTCGAGCGTTAGCTCTTCGTTAGAGTGAATTATGAAGGGCTAACGCTCGTAACGTCAGCTTTTAAACTCTTTAAGGTGGCCAATTTAAATTATCAACTCAGTTGATAAAACCAAAATTATCTTGGTGTACTGACTGATTGACTGGCTGACGGACGGACGGATAATTAGAAGGACCGACGCACTAACTCATTCACTCACCCACTAAGTCCACTGACCGACCATTTGATAGATTGATTGATTTTTTACATTCATTTTGAAATCACTGGTGATCCTTGTAATCTGATTGGCTCCCATTGGTGTGATTTATGTACGAATCCCACCATTTTTTACCTCTCAATGGCATCTTTTTCCCAGCCGTTTAAGAAACTTTACTAGGATACAACAACCAATTGCTTGATTAAAGAAACCAATGAAATCGTAGGAAAATAACAGCTTCAATTTGCAACTTTCTACAAACCTGCTCACCACTGGATCAACAAAACATTTTTACAGACTAAACATCCTGTATCTGAGCAACTCAATTTTTCGATTTCAAAATGGATGTAATGAAGTGGTAACTGAACTGAGGGGAGTACAGTTTTGGTCCGAAATGATACTTGTTATTTCAAATCAAGCATTATGATTTCAGACCAATTTTCACTCCTCTAAGTTCAATTACCTTTATTTATGAATTTACCGACTGTCTTTCTGCGTGGTTACTGTTTTAGATCAGTGACCTTCAAACTGGACTGCGTCGGGCTGAACAGCAGGCCAGTAGAAGAGAAGACAATCTACGTCAAGAAATAAGTGATCTACAACAGGTTTGATTTAAGAATAATAACAAAAACGACGACAAATTGTATGATTCAAGACTTATGGAAAGGTCTGCACTGAGCCTAAGACTTATCAATCTTAATTCAATAATTTCAGATGGCCGGAAAGAGCTGTGTTATTGCATTTTAGCCAAAAACATGGAATCCACGTAGTTTTAACGGAAATGTACAATGTTTGCAGAAATTTGTTTCTAATTGTCAACTGATGTAGAAAAAAAAAATGGTTTTGACCGATTGTGACTTAGTTGTCAGTGCAACTAAGCAAAACAGTCGGTAGAAGCATGGAAGTTTGCGGAGTCACGTTAATTCTACGAGATTAGAAAAACATTCACTTTTGGTGCTTTTTGATTTGTGGATTATGGGAAAATAAAGTTTCATTTTAGTGTTGATTTTAACCAAAAGGACCCCCACTTACTGCATAGCCTTTTTGAGGATCTTGAATTGGATGCACTTTTCCGATAACGGTGATGTTGTAAACATTGTTCGCCATCCTGAAGAGAAAATACGAATTGGAAGAAGTGGTGGATTGTTTGAACACGTTTAGATTTGTATTTCTTGTTAAATTTCCTGTTGAAAACGGTTCAAACAATCATTTTTCTCCTCATACAGAGGTTACAGGAAGCAGAAGCTCGTAACCAGGAACTCACTGAAAGTGTCTCTTACGGTAACTTGAATGTGATTGAATATAATTTTTCTCATAACATCTGCGTAAAAACTTCTGGAGGGAGGAGTAAGTACAGAATGAAGCACATTTTGACACTAACTTCTTGTTCTTCCTTTCGACTTACCAACCCATAGCAACAAGACCACTATTAAGGCAGATTGAGAACCTACAGAGCAGCTATGGAAATCACACGCAAACTTGGGAAAGAGTGGAGAGGAATTTAACGGAGAGGCTTAGTGAGTGAACCCTTTATTTTTAACCCTTCATTTATCATAACAGTTTTAACTTATGAAAAGTTGGACCGATAGAACATTGCCTCTTACCATGCAAAGCTTTCGAATATGAAAATATATTGCCAGTTACTCATTGAGTTTAGTGTCGTGCAATCAACGTCTCATCTATCACACAGCCGATCAGAACAAAGCTAACATCAATACGTGGCAAATACCGTACATACACTACCTAAATGAGAAAACGTGGACAACCTAGCTGGGAACCAGTTTTCCCTACGATTAGTCTAGACGATTTTTTTCTAGATCTGTCATTGACACAACGTAGTGAAACAAACCTGATTCATAATTGTAGTACTTTCTTCACGCGATTGAAATTTCTCTACTGAAAATCGAACTGGAACTGAGGCTGTAAACACATTTTTTAGTATAATTGTTTCCATGAAAGAGGCTCCGCGTCTATCAGATTATTCTCGAACAATTACTTTTCCTACCAGATGAGGCTCAGGTTCAACTAGCCGAGGCCCAGGAAAAGGAGCGCGTAGCCACAGAACATGCGCTGGAGTTGAACTCCCGCTTGACAGCTGTGGAGTCACAGCTGGCGACATACCGACAAGACAAGTCACGACTGGAGGCTACATTGGAGATGGAACGAACGAGACTGGAAACTGCTGAGGAAGCGAGAAGCAGGTACAAGTACTACTGAGAAGATTGCAAATGAAGTGTAATCTGGTAATTTCCTCTTATGGAAAAAAACTGTAATTTTTGGCGGTCAGGAAACGCATAGTACCTAGAGTCACATTTTCAGGGTTGAAGTAAACTTTTTTGTGTAGATAAACTAACTTTGTGTTTATATGCTCAGGGAAACTGCTAAGATAGAGGCATTGGAGATTAAATACAGAAAAATGATGGAGGATAACAACTTGGAGAAGGTAAAAGTCGCTAGCAGTTTGTAACCATTACTTTACTACTTATGCTGGGCTTATCTCGTTATAAGTCACTCGAATCATTTTGAACACGTGTCATGTTTGTTCTTCAAGGCTTTACTTGAACAACAACTCGCCGTAGAGAAAGGCAAAATGGAAACAGAAAAGAAGAAGTTTCAACACGCCATGGAAGAGAAAGTAAGTCTTTGAATTTGACAAATTGGATGTCAAATGTTCAACTCCTGAGTTGCATTTTAGATTAACATGTGGCTAACTGTTCGCATCAGTGTTATCGAAAGTGTCTTGTGTAGAAAATCGAGAGGAATTTTTAAGGATTTTTCGATGATTTCATTACATGTTTCTCTTGTAAATAACTTCTCTTTTACCCCTTGAAGAATGCACACAGTCCCTGAAATGTCTGTAACTAGTGAAAAAGGAGATTTGTCTTAGATAGACCTTGATTGTCAACATCTTACTGTATTTCACATGTGAAGGAGATTTTTTAAGTCTTCGCACATTCTCTATCCGTTAACTAAACAAGGTTTTTTTATACGATGCTCTCTTTTAGGAGAGAAGTTTACTTCGACAATCTAGTATTTCAGGAGCACCTCCCTCTCCCACGGCCAGGGACGACTCTTCGCAGGTTTGTAATCTTACGAAATGAAGAATTTATGACTTCTCTAATGTCTTTCCTGTTTAGTGTAATAAATTCACTTTCACGATTTTCCACATATCGTACATGGACTGTTACTCCATCCGCTAGAAATTAACCAACAGTGAATTTCCCTCTTTCGGTAAAAGCGAAACATCCTCTTTGATTACTTATTCATACGAGGAAACAAAAACTATTGAGAACTTTACCAGTTCTATCGTTTTAAATGAAACTTTGTGGAAAGAGTATTACTTAACTTATAATTAATACACTTCATGCTATTGTGTTCTGTTCTTTAGGACGAAAATCCCGTTACCTCCCCTCACAGGCCACGACAGGGTAGCACCAGTAGTGTTATTGATGGCATATCGAGGGGAATCATGGGAGCTGGCACCGCCATGGTCGAGAGACTGCAGGCTCAGGTCAAACAAAAAGATGGCGAAATTCTACTTTTACAGGTATCATTTTGTGTGCAACCGTATACTGTCTCTTACTGGGTGACCCGAAGTTGCCCCTAAGCACGAGACATTTCTTGCCATTTACATTGATAGTAGTTAGCGGTCATGTGTCGAAAGTAAGTAAGTTCGTTTGAAAAAGGGTTGAGAACGCAATGCCGAGTCAATAGGAACTTCGATGCTTGGGAATTATGCATCCAGAACCATGCGCAGTAAAACAAGACATGTTTGAATTGAATAAAGGGGGTAGGTGCTGCGTCGGTGGGATAGTATAACAGGGTAATTTAGTATTATCAACTGAGTTGTTGATTTAAATAGACCACCGTAAAGAGTTTCAAAGCTGACTTTTCGAGCATTAGCCCTTCGTCTCGGATTCGCTCTGACGAAGGGGCCGAGCTAACGCTGGAAACGTCAGTTTTGAAACTCTTTACGGTGGCCTATTTACGTTATCAACTCAGTTGATAATGCTAAATTGCATGTTAGATCTGGCGAGTTATTTTAGCTTTTAGTAATTGTAAGACATCCGAGGCAATTTCACTGAGGACAATACATGTGGATCTATTTTTTAACTAACAAAGGGGAACGTCTTTTGTAACAGGAAGAGATAACTACGCTACAAAAAACACGCGATGCCGTCACAGAAGAACTAGCGACACTCACTTCGAAAATGGAGAGTCTGGAGGAAGATAGTAGACTTTTAGCTGACCTACAAACACGATACAAGGTAGGTTGGGTTTACCAAATCTACATTGATATATCCCCTCCCATCTTATCCACTCTACTGTTAGTTGATCCGCTCAGTGGCACATGGAATCCGTGAGGGTATAATTTTGTAACACAGTTTGTATGTAGAAAGCAAGAGTGCTTTTTAATTTTGATATCCGGGATACTTGGTATTTCCCTAGGAGCTTGAACAACGTCATAACGCCGTGCTTCAAATGTACGGTGAGAAAGCTGAGCAGGCTGAAGAACTGAAAATGGACTTGGAAGATGTCAAATCCATGTATAAACAACAGGTAAATATGCAAAATTTAACATAGACTCCAGTGATTTGTTGTAAATGCAACCTTCGAACTGTCGGAGAGTATAGTGTTGAACTCTTTGATCGTTTTGCTCGTGATTTATATTTCAATCTTGAGTTCTATAATCTTCAAGTGATGCCCGAAATCATTATGTTGCATTTTCCAACGAAAGAGAAATGTATTCCCTCGCCTCCTTCCGTCGAGGAATATAAATATGAACGGGTGCAGGGGGAATTGTTTGCCTGACCTTGCAAAAGGCTTTTGGGTGATGTAGGAATGACTACCATCCCACCTTGGAAAGTAGCAAGAATTCGACGTCTTTTTTTTCTCTTACAGAAAAGAGAGCAAGGGTGCTGGTCACTTTCGTCGTAATGCTTTGTAAATTATTTCTCTGATTTTAACAACACACCTTGTGTTGCACTGAGTTTAAGCAAGAATTTTGTTTATTTACAGATTCAGGAACTCCTGGGAGCCGCAAGATGACACCAGCGTAGAGATGAAGAAGATTATTTGCGATCAGTCCATTCTGTCGAAGACGAAAAATTACATCTAAAGAGCGTTTATTTGGACTCATTATGGACTGAGAATGATTGGGATAGTGTGGCCATTCGGCCTTAATCGTTTTAATTACCACTCTTATTCGTCGATTAATTTGAAGCTTCAACATCCCCCCCAGGCAACCCCCTGCGCATTTGAACTTTTGAAGATTGGTTTGTCTAAATCCTCTCCCCCGGGGGCAAAAATTGAGTTCAAATCCTCCACTCCCTTTCCTTTTTTTGTTAAAAGTTAAATCAGGGACAGTGACTTTCTACACATTGACCAAGCTTTATGACTGAGACCTTGTAGACTTTTCATTTTGGGGTATTCGATTGCGAAAGTGAACTTCGGTATTTAACACTTTAAAACGCCTTCATATTTAAAAGATATAAGACTTGTATTCCGCTAGAGAGACTGGATACTTTAGGTTCAATTTTCCCAC